CCCTTTGCTGGGACCTTGGTGACCCTTCTGAATGTGGCTCTGTGCATCTCGCAACCACCTTTGTGGAACCACAGAATATCCCAAGTTGGGAGGGACCCAAAGGGACCACCAAGTCCAATAGCATCACCAGGACCTCAAATTAACCCAGGCTGCTAACCAACACGTCACTCCCAGCCCCCTCTTTGCTGTTAACAAAGTGAAGAAATGGGCCATTGACCCAGCTGGCTCTGCTGACAGCCACGAGGCCGAGCTCCTCGCTGAAGCACCCAGTGTTCATTGCTCATGAGCTAATTAAGAAACTCCCCATCAGCTGCTGAAAGACCTGAAATTGGGCAAGCCTGGTACAGTCAGCAAGTCCCAACCCAGCACTTACTCACTGCTAAGAGGAGGCGTCCCCTCCAGTCACTCCCTGCAGGGTGACAACAGGTAGCGTCGATACCCCCTGACCCCCTAATTACACCGCTGAAATAACGAGCCCTGGGATTTGTTGTTCTTGGAGCCACGTGCTGGCTGTCCCGCGCCGCGCAGCCCGTTGGTTAGCCCTGTGACCCACTGCTCACCCACGGTCACACTGGCCAGAAGAGGTGAGCGCTGCTGCTGAAAGATCGCTTAATTAGGATGGATTAATGACACCGAGTCCGAGCTGGAGCAGACAGAGCAGTTCAGCGAGCGGGGCCTGATGGTGAGACAGTACAGCTCCACGAGGGCAAGTTTTAGAGCCGCCACATCCAGCCACGTATGGGAAAGAGATCACAAAGCTCAGCCCACCGTAAAATAAAAAATAAAATAAAATAAAAAAATTCACAAATCCCCAAAACCAGAGCCCAGCCCACGGCTTTCCTCCCACCGTTCCCATGCCTGGGCGCAGCTCGCGGCACACGGCGCTGCCATATCGATGCAGCAGCCCACCACGTCCCCCCCAAAGCACGGCCAACGCCGAGGAGCTCAGCAGCTCGACAGGTGAGGCCATGAAACCCGATCACTGCAGACAATGTCGTTCCCCCCAGCGTCGTGCTGGGAAGGCCTCGTCACGTGCGTCGTATCGGGCAACATGCTGGAAGCGCAGCGGAGCGCTGAAACCCCAGCGACACGAATAATCTTTGCCATCTGTTTGAACAACTCAACCCTCCTCAGATCTGGAGGAATGATCCCATGCGAACACAAGGGCCTTGCTGACTGATTCCAGCAGCCCCAGCCCCACGATTCGGGGCCGTTCGCTAAGGAAATTGGCCTGGTGGTGTTGGAGGGGCACACGGGACCCTGGCTGTGCCACGGGCAGGGCGCTGGGAACCCCCATCTGCCCCAGCACAGCGCAATGCAAAGCCAGGATTTGTTTATGGACATATCACATATCTCTATATAAACATTATATATTACAATATAGATTGATCGATAGATACATCTAATATTTTTAACTTTTTTTTTTTTTTTTAAAGCAAATAAAATCTCAACAGGATTGGCAAAGCAACCCTTGGGAATGCAACCACCCCACTGGGATGTGCTCACTGCCAGCAGTGCAGCCCCGGCATCGCACTGGGGGATCTGCTCCTTGCCCAGCTATGGGGCTTTCACACAAAGCTGCTGGGAGAATCGCCTCCATTCCCAAACTCCCCAGCGATGAGAAGCCTCCAGGAGCAATGGGAGCTGTTAGCAAGTGCCTGGCTGGGGGGACAGAAGACACCGGGGTGTTACACTCACTGCCACCATAAATTCAGGCTTTACAATGGTCAAATGCAGGGTAAAACTCCATCTCGCTCAGATTTACCCTGGCTTCAGCATGGCTACAGCCACCCAATGTGTTACTTTTCCTCTGCTTCCCACATGCACCCACCCTAGGGGCCAAAAAGGATGCTCCTGGGGGCAAAAACAGGAAATAAAACCAAACGAGGATGTTTTCCCATCATTCAAGAATTGGCACAAAGCAGCACCCTGTGCAATAACATCCCCACTGCTTACTGGGGTGACCGGGGAGTTTAGGAACACACTGCACACAAGTGTATCTGAACCATTCAGGGGGGAATGAATTGGAGAAATAAAACTAATAATCAGAATAAAAATCTTACATAAAACACAAAGGGGAGGGGGGAAAAAAGAGAACACGGTCTGGCTCCTCAAGCAGCAGCAGTCAGGGCATGGGGTCCTGGTGAAGGCTGAGTACTCAGCAAATAGATCAGCGATGGGCAGCGGGGCCATGAGTGCACAGTGCAGCCCCATAGGGCACGGGGCTGAGCCCACGGAGCTCAACATGAGAAATAAAGGGGAAAAAAAATAATAAATAATAATAATAAAAAAAAACCCACCCCAAAAATGTGTAATCCTAAGCGTGATGTTGTTTCCTTACCGTACATTAATTACAGGACCAAAGGGTTTCAAGTCCCCGCCCTGTTAAAAACACACCATTATTGCCTGAAATGAAACTTTATATATATATAAATATATATATATATATATATATAAATATATATAAAATATTTTTCCTTGTATCCCAGGGAAGAAGCAATTCCCCATACGAGCAGCACCCCATACGCACACAGCAGCTCCCTGCAGGCTGCTCGCGGTGCAACCCGACTGAGGAAACTCATTTATCGCCCCAAAGTTCCACGTGCTCCTCACAATTAGCTCTCAGCATGGCTGGATCCCATTTCTCCTCTGTCATGGTGGATATTTTCCCTCGGACTGGTTAACATGCTGCTTTCATTACTGGGGAGAGCCCCGCAACACGCGCACGGGGTTGTTTCCATTGGATTCCCAGCTATGCCACTGTTAGTGAGTTTTTCCCTCTCTTCCCTCTGCTTTTTAGCAGCTCAGCACCACTTGATGCTGTTCTGCCTTCTGCAAGAATAAGGGGAAATGTATTTTATTCCATTTAAACATCTCCATGTAACAAATGGAGCAAGAAAAAGTTTGTTCTCTCTCCTTCCCAAGTTCCTCGCTGTGTGCGGGACCTTCCGGCACGGCACAGCACTGAGATCGGTACAATTAATCACAAATACGCACAAAATTTAAGCTTTCATCAAAGCAAAACAAGCAAAATTGCCACGACTTTTGCCTCTCATCAACCTGCACAAAGTTTCCATTGGAAGATGGCATTGCACGGCAGGAAGAAATTAAAAAAAAAAGAAAAGAAAAGAAAAATGCAACCAAACCAAAGCAAAACTCCCAGATCCAACTTGATCAGCTCAGATCCACAGGAATAAAATCTCCTTCCAGCAGCCAACAGTTGTGTCCCCATCGTCCCAATGGCGATGGGTTGAAGTGGCAGCGATGGGCGCTGCGGGCACAGAACGGCCCCACGGAGAACAGTGCGAAAGCCCCCGAGCAGCAGAGCTGAGGCACACCCTGCTCAGCAAGGCAGATATTTTACAGCGGGTTTTATCTGGTTTTATGGGGCCGTTAACAAGCAAACAGAAACGCTTCTCCTTATTGATGTTCAGATAATAAATAAAAGCCTCAGTGGGGCTCGTGGCAATAAGCACGCTCCTGTGGAGCGCTGAGAAACCGAAATGCATGGAGGTTCAGGGCAGTTTGCAGTTCTGCAGGATCTGATTTGTAACACCGAAATTCATCCCGCCCAATTCCTGCGTCTCATTCAAACCCTACTCAGAAATAAGGCAGAATTTGCAAAGCACCCAGCCATTATTTGGGCAAATATTCCTATTCTCCTCAGTGCACTGAGCACGATTTTGCATTCCTTCCCCTCAACCCATTTGGGTTACAGTCTCCCAAAACACCACGGCCACCCAGAGCTGCCCAGAACTCAGCTAAAACAGCAAAAAACCCCAGCTCAGCCATCCAGAAGTGTGCTCACAGGGGTAGGGCCCACACTGCTGGAAATGGAGCAGCTGATAAGAAGAAAGCATGGGAGAAGTTGTGCCCAACTTTGATGACAGCTCCTCGAAATGTTAAAAATTCAGTGCGTCCCTTCGATCCCGACTGCCACCCCCCGTGCTGGGACAACAGATTGGTGCAATCATAAGCTTTATTCTCTCCTTCTCCCCCTTCCACCTCTTCCTTGTAAAAGATTAATCAACCATTTTATGGTCTAATTTAGGCGCCTAATTAAAAACACAGTTCAACACCTACAACACCATTTTGCTAATAAATCCTGACAGCTCCTCCGCTCTGCAATACGCAGGTTCTCCTTCCCAAACGCCAAGTTAATATTTGATGGGATATCAGTCTCACCCCGTTGCCGTGGGACGCCGCATCCTCCGCTCAAACCTCAGAAATCCACTCCACGAAACCACCCGATCCTATCCCGCATCCCCTCCGTGACGGGTTGGCGGCATCAAAATCCCATTCACAGACCCGGATAGGAGGATGGGCTGCAGGGCTGCTACAGTTCCGAACTCCGCCGCTGTACCCGCCGGCCCCGAAATGCTTTGGTACCGCACGGATCGGCCCCGAGCGCTCCGGGCTCAGGGGGATGCGGTGTCCGTGCGGCCGCCGCTCTGCTCCATTTTCAACTTTTAATCAACGCCTCGCGTGTTTCTCGCTATGTAACCCCTTTCCTACCCCTCCTCCGCTCCCTCCTTTTTATTTTTTATATATA